TGCGGCGCCGATCAAAACCTATTTGGAAACACTCAATTGGGAAGTTTTATCCCACCCGCCGTATTCACCAGACATTGCTCCCTCTGACTATCACTTGTTTCGATCGATGACGCACGGCCTGTCTGAGCAGCACTTCACATCATATGAACATACCAAAAATTGGGTCGATTCGTGGATAGCCTCAAAAGATGAAGCGTTCTTCCGACGCGGTATCCGTATGCTGTCAGAAAGATGGGAAAAAGTAGTGGCTAGTGATGGACAATACTTTGAATAAAACATAAGGTACCGTTCTTTCACAATAAATGCCCAATTTTTGATAAAAAACGGCGGAGACTTATTTGTACTCCCAATACATTGAAATATAACTGTCTGTGCAATTAGAAAAAGATTGAAGAAAAAGACCGGGACTAATTTGCAATTAAAATTAAGTTTTCATACGTGTTCTCTGAGCTTAACGTGTGATTTTTGCTTTCTTTTTAATATTTTCTAAACTAAATGTAAGATTTTAATAAGAAATTAATGTAATATTAAAAATTAATATACGGATATTTTGAGATGCGTGTTATTCTGAAATCGAAAAAAAGTGTTCAAATCGTATTCGGACAAAGTTAGGATTGTTAGGGAGCTATTGTGGGATGGATTTCAATGGAAATTCTTTCCAAGAAATTTTCCAAAGGAGAATTTGTCTCATAATAGGCGTATTACAAGGGACCAAGAGGACGAACGCTAGTATTAGACTTATTGCTCACGAACTTCCTCTCCGTTCAGTGAAGAAAAGCTGAGAAGTGGGCTCAGGAACAAGGAAACAACGATATTATTTGGTGATCGATTCAGACGTATTGTAACAAGGTAACGGTCCGATAATTATCCAACCGCGTATGACCGCGTCAAGGCCACGGTCATGGTACGCTGAGCAACGATCTCACGGACTTTCTTACATTGTAACGTGGCGGCAAGCCCCGTTCACTTTACGTAACTTTTAACGTCTTCGGGACGTTAGAAGTCGGGCGCGAAAGCGCACAGGAAATTTAGGAAATCGTTGGCGGACAACGTTCGCTCGCGAACTACGACAGGTAAGCGGATGCATGCGATGAGAGTATTCTAATTAGCCAGATTTCATGGACATTTGATCATGTGCCACTTCCTCGTGAGACATTTATTCGTAGACATTTCTTTACTCGGATATTTTATTGTACGGGATATCTTAGTGTTTACGATAATTCATCATTTGATATTACATCGTCCACAATAATTAAATACAGATGTTTATGTGACGCCAATCTGTTAAATTAATACAAATACACGTTTCTACAAAATGTTTGAACTTCGGAACACTGTGCGAATAGAACTCGTTAAATTAAATTGACACGGAGAGAATTTTATAGAAAATTATCTATAAAATTTTGTAACTGAGAAATAGATCGATATTCTGCAGTAATTGATTATCCTTTCATTTGTCGGACTTGCTCATATCAATCGTTAATTAATCGACCTTTAATTAAATTTACTAAGTTCGATCATAAATTAAATCTACTAAGTTAAATTACTAATTAAACGATTTTTAATTTTCCTCACTTTCATATTAATCGTCAATTAAACAGTTTTTAAATAAGTTCATTGAAATCAATTGTTAATCGAAAGAGATCTTTGATTGAATTCATTGAAATAATTATCAATTGAAAGGTCATTAATTGAATTTGTTGAAATCAATTGTCATTAAACGGTATCCAATTGAATTATGATATTAATCGCCAATTAAACTTCGCCGTAATTAATTAAAAATGTAATTTATTATCCGCAACCCTGGATCTTACTGACAGTCTATATTTGCACTACTAGAAATGTGTTTACGAAAACACTAATGTGTTTAGCAGTGATTAGCATGTGTTTAGCTATGTTTTTTAGAAAACAACTTATTGGACGTCTAAACGTCTTAACAATTTATTGAACGTCTGTAAAAAAGATACTTTTAACAATGGAAAACGTAAATGTGTCACCGACAAAGTTAAAAAAATCATTTTACCATTAACAAACTATTGCTAATAGCAATATTTAAAAAAATGATATTATCAAATGTTTCCAACAAAGTTAGAAAACTTTAAACAGTTGATAATTGTTGTTAGCAAATGTGTGCTATATACAAAACGATGATTTTACGAATATATTACGATAATATTCACGATAATATTACGAATATCATTTGCAAAACACTACTTAATAAAAGAGAAAAGGATTTATATGAAATAAAATCTACAGTATTTTCACCATGTAGAGAGACATTTTGAGAGGAATTATGACCACGATGAGACAAACTTTAAAGCAGCCTGAAGAGGAACATTTTGGGTTTTTTATTTGTTCTTGTGTGACAAACAGGTTCAAACGTGCAAATGTTACCAACATTTCACAAAAAGAAGATGTTATCAAGAAAAACGTGAACAAGATTTTAGAATAAAAAGAAACGTCACGAATTAAAAAAACATAAACAGTGGAACGAATGAACAAAGTGTCGTAAACAATGAAAATCATCAACGACGAATTATGCAGATTAGTTTACACCAGCAGTAATATTGCTAATAACATATGTTTCTAGCAGTGTTACTGACAAATGTAAATTTGTCCTATTTAAAATTGCTGAAAACATTTGTTTCCAATAAGATACAAAACAAGTTACTCACATTTTTATAGTAACTTTGTTATTTTGAAATAGAAAATGTTACTAACATATTTTTCAACATGTTGGGAAGAACAAATGTTATAGACAAAAGTTACTTATTAACATGGTGATAACTTTGTTACCAACATTGTTAGAAACATTTTTCTGGAACCAATTATTTCTAATTTAGATCAAATTAGATCTAGAAAGGATATTGAAAGCAAATATTCTTAGCAATTTCTAATAGAAAACGGGTTCTAACAGAAAATGAAATTCTAAAGAACAAATGTCTATGGACATACGGCAATTTGGAAAAGTGGCCAAAATAGCAAAGTGACTAAACGGCTATAAATGACTTTTCGAGTTAGGATTCCAGGAGAATATTAAGAAGAAGAAAATAAAATGACCTGCTACCGGCTTGCCTTTTTTCCTACCTCTCTCTCGTTTCCTCTCATCCCACCGACTAATTCGAGGCGGAGAATGAGCGAGAATTTTTATCTTTTTATGAGCGAGAATTCTTGGTAAAGTCGATTGTGTAACCCCGCTAACGCAAACGCACGCGGTGCTTTCGAGAAACGGATTCTCACTCTCTTGAAAGGAGAATCTAAGCGGAACTTTCCCTGCTGTGATTCGTCTCTCGCGCGCGCACACACCCGCGCTTGTCTTTGGTCATTCGTATGCGCGGAGGAAGACGGAAGAGGCGACACACGGCGAAAGGAATATCAACAATTGGAAATGGGTCGCGACCCGACCTCGTCGCGAATCCTCGTCGACGATCGTCGCTGCGTCCAATTTCCACTTGTTGCGTCACCGCCGCGTCCCGACAACGCACCGCCTAGGACTTAGGGAAGTTTGTTGAGTGCACTTGCCGTGGATAATGGTCCGGAGTCTCACAGAAGGTTTGTCCCGGCGGCGCGCAGTTAGGGGTATGTCCCGGAGGGGCAGGGACGAAGGGCTCGTATTGCGGTCGTCCTGGACATCCATACTCCGTGCAAGGCTCGCCCCCGATGACCATCGAGAACAACTGTCGTCACACACGCGCGCAAGGTACACACACGCGCTAATTTTAATAAGACTATAAGAATGATTATGCATTGGAAGGGGCCGCGAAATTGCATTCTTTTCTTTTCTATATCTCGTTGGATTTTCTTTTTCTTTCTCTCGTCTACTAGAATTTCGAACGGTTCCCGTCCGCTCGTCGAGCATCTTCGCGGCGTGTGAAAGTTCGCGCGTTTCGTGCAAAACTCACGAACGCACAGTCGAGAGGATCATCACGGCCGAGTGGTCTGTCTCTCTCTCTCTCTCTCTTCCTTTCGCAGTGTGCGCTGGACCGTTTATTATTATGAAATACGTCGAGAGCCGTCGTAATCGATCGCTTATCAGCTATTCCTTCCTACATGATGATACAAACGCGCACTTTTTGCGATGCTGTTAAGCGCCTCTGATTCAACAGCTATACGTAATCCGGTTTCCGGATAAAAAAGAAGTGTCGGTATATCAGCGTGATGTATGAGTCAATGGAAACCGCGATTAAAAAGGTCTATAAAGCGTGAGCGCTTTGTACATTAACGAGAGGACGTTACATCAGATTTATATAAATACGGCTCCTCAGCGTCTCTAGGACAGAATACGATCGTTACTCTTAGCGAAATATCGAATCAAGAAGCACTTACAATTGTTATTAGGTGCCACGCGATCGCCATTTCCGATCGATCGTAATATGATTCACCAGCCCTGCGTGCGACGGGACCTTCTCTCTCTTTCTCTCTCTGTCTCTGTCTTGCGGCGGAGTGCGGCAGGTGTCTCGGCAGGAAGGAGCCCGCGAAGTCACTTAATTGGCATCGCGTGCCGACCGATCGATGCGATCGTGATATCACCAGGCCCGATAAACGATCTTGCACGACCCGAGCAGCGAGATCGCCGCCACCCTTGGAGACCACGCGAGGGTGCAGGGGCGAGGAGCGAGAAGTAGAGTCAATAGCCTCTCTCCGAGTTCCTTCCGTATGAGAAGGCAGCCGGTGTTACTACTGCTCCGATCGCTAGTCAATCCACATCGACCCGGTCTCGCTGGTTTGGCCGAGGAAGCAAAACTCGACGTTCCGGCACGGAATCTCGGCTGTACTGTCTCGTCCCTCGTTACTTCGTGTTTGCGGTGATCGGCCCGGTGTTACCGCGCGATGTAAGCGTGCAGCTCCGCTACGCCACCGACTACAACGGACTACTGCGGTCGACCACCATGTATAACCGGATGTCTCGTCGCTTTTGGCCAAAGTGACTTGAAAGTGTCCACGTTGGGTCCAGAGACTGGCGCGATTCGGTTCTACACCGAGCGCCACGAGTCTCTCCTAGCAACATGGGACACGCTGGGTATACGTATGCGTGGTTGGAAGGACCCCTTCCTCGGACACGAAGCGTGCACGAGTTCCGCGGCCGCTCAAGGTGGGGTAGGCGGACGTATACTTTCACTGGGATACATGCGCGAGGGGGATATGTCGACCTTATGACAGCGCGAGGCTGAGTTTTTCTCCGGATTACCCGGATGACACCGATACATCTTGATTACATGACCATTGCTGCCGCTGCTGCTACTACTACTACTACTACTACTACTACCACTACTACTACTACTACTACTATTACTACTGCTACTACTACTACTACTACTACTACTAATGCTGATGGTCGAGAAAGAAACGCAGAAATATGCGGTCTTCTGCGTGTTGCAATCCGCCGACGGGAAATTGGCGATCGTTTTTCGACACGCGGTGCAAATATGTCGTTCCTCCGCGTTGATTCGTAAAATGGGATCTGCAAACTGGATTTTTGTTGAAGGTTTACCCGTATGCTTCGATTTCGCCTCCCTTCGGCGAAAATTCGATCATCTTACACTCTATCGGACTAGGTGTTGACTAGATTGATGATCACAGATTGAAGATTGGAATTTGATCGATCAGAACAAAGTGAGCCATGTGTGAAATTAAGTGACTCTTCGAGAATTCCAATCTCTAATTCGCAATTTCAATGTCCAATATCTAGTCTGATTTGATCTTAATAATTATATCAAAATTATCTACAAGTCAATAGAAATCATCTTGGACACTTGGCACAATTCGAATATACAGTAGCGAACCAATCGTGTTTTACTCGAGTGAATTCATTTTATCGATCTTTTAGACAGGAAAACATTGTAATTTGAAAGCGAATTTGAAGTCCTGCGTGTCGTTCGACACTTAGTTGAGAGTTAAGCTTCAGACATGCTAATACGTGTCAGAAATACCTGCACACGGATCTGTTTTCTATCAATTGCATTATAATTACAATATGATTTTCTAGCGATTTTGGTATTTTTACGGCCTGATAGCCTGCCTCTGATATTGTACGACGTTCGAATATGGCGGTGTCGCAGCCATATTGATTCTTAGTGAGGTCCCGTGGCACTGCTGTTCCCGACAGCGCTCGGAGGACTAGCTTCGAAGCAGTTCACCCATTGGTGCCGTGTTGACATTGCTGGCGCACTTCTCAGCGTCCACGGGCAGGCTTCAACGTCACATACATAACTCTATCGGCTCGTTGGATTTTTCTGCGTTAGGTGTCAACGCGAGCGTTACGTCCGAGAACGTTTGAGCAGCTGGGATCGCCGGAGAATACACGCGCCTCAAGGCATCGTCGATGTGAATGGTGCTTAAGACTCGAGGCTGTCGGACCTGAGAACGTTCCGCGCGCGTCGTGACGACTTGTTAACTGTTGTTTAGCGTAATCATGGCGGCGATCTCGCCACGAATAGACGAGCTTGTGCAGTCGGTCAGCATGCACAATTCACGCAGATGGATGTTTAACGGCTACATCATGCCGTTCGTAATACTGCTGTCTGCATGGATCAACTGTTGGATCTTCGTCTACGGTGTCGACGAGTATTATGACGCGGGCCTGGTGGGCATCGCGGTAATCGGCGTGCTACAGGTCCTCCTGTGTCTCTGCTGTCAATGGTCCGTGCACATTCATACGTTCGTCAATTGCAGCTCGGTGAGTGCTAACAGTGCCCGCCGGGCCCCATTTGTTTGAACAATAGACACGTGGTTCATTATGTGTGTGCTCTCAATATGTCTCGTAACGTGGCAGCCATTCGAACCGGTCTTCTGCTAGCTCGATCACGTGGCATATCGGCGGGAATATTGAAGCGACATCGATGTCGCGCGTTTTAGTTTATTAGCGGCCGAGATGTTAAGCATATGTTCAATTACCTCTACGTTTTCTGTCTCGCGAATCGTAACGCTACCAAAGCAGTCAAAAAATGATGGGTTTGTAGTTTCTTAGAAAAGTTACAATGACGCACTTTACGCTTTTAATTGAACGAAATGGAAAGAATAAGTAAATATTTTTCCCTTACATTACGTACTCTTTCAATGATCTGTCAAAAATTTTGACTATTCTAGCAGAAATAGGCCGTTAATCGTCGGTAGTTCTAGTGTTAATTCTATATCAGATCAGATTAGGTATTAAAGATCAAGAATTGTGGATTAGAAATCAGAATTTGGCAAATTAACTACTTTGGATCTTCACTTCGCTTTATTTCACTTATTCTGCTCAAATTTCAATTTTCAATCTCGTGTAGAGCTGGTCTGATGCCAATTTTATACAGTGCTAATTCATATTTATCTAATCTACCTAATGGGTTTCCAGGAAAGAGATCCTTACAAAGCCAGAATAGTAAAGGTAGTGCCTACGCCGAATAACGGAAGCACTGAACTGATCAAGCTGCATCATAAGGAGCAGCAGGAACCGTGGTTCATCTTTCAGAAGACTAAGTATCATTGGGATCCGGCGAAAAAGTCATTTATAGGCCTACACTTCCCCATCAATCATTCCGTTAAACATTATTGCGAATGGAAAGGATATCTTGACGAAAAGGAAATTGCAGCGGCGGAAGAGAAATATGGCAAAAACATGTACGTTGTGCACGACTATCTGTTCGATCGCGTCCTCGCGCGATACTCCGTATACTCCGTAGTTTACAAAGAACTGCTTTTATTATAGCTTGGACATGGTCGTGCCCGAGTTCTGGGAGCTTTTCAAGGAGCGTGCGATCGCGCCGTTTTTCGTTTTTCAAGTTTTCTGCGTAGCGCTCTGGTGCTTGGACAAGTACTGGTACTATAGTATCTTCACTCTGATCATGCTTATCATGTTCGAATGCACGCTGGTACAGCAACAATTGAAAAACATGGCTGAGATTCGCAAAATGGGCAACAAGCCCTACATGATTATGGTACGGATGACATGTTGTTGTGAGTGCTTGCAGTCGGGTCTCATCATGCGATCGCAATTCACCTACGCTTATTCTCTCTTATTTCTTTTTTAGGTGTACAGAAATAGGCGATGGCGCTTATTATTTTCAGATCAACTGGTGCCCGGTGATATCGTTTCTATCACGAGGCCTCGACAGGATAATCTGGTGCCATGCGACATGTTACTGCTGCGAGGTCCCTGCGTGGTTGACGAGAGCATGCTGACAGGTATTTGAAAAAAATAGTTAATGTGGTCAACTTGATCGATCGTACGACTGCGCAAATGTATAGGTGAATCCGTCCCGCAAATGAAGGAGCCTATAGAGGACATGGATGGAAATCGGAATCTGGACATCGAAGGCGATGACAAGCTGCACGTGCTTTTCGGCGGTACGAAAGTCGTGCAGCACACACCTCCTAGCAAGAACACCCCTGGTCTACGAGGTATTATTTAATCTGTTATTAAATAGATTAGAGCAAAAATATAGATGAAGATAATTTCTAATAATAATAAGATAATCAGAGTATAATAGGATGAGGAAGTTTTATCAATAATACTCATATTATTAATGAAAGTTTGACAACATTGTTAGGAGAAATAGGTTTTACTTTTCATCACGTTTTCGCTCTTGAGCATATTAACACGACAATATTGTTTCAGCGGCCGACAACGGATGCGTTGCCTATGTGCTGCGTACCGGTTTCTCCACGTCGCAGGGCAAACTCTTGAGGACGATATTATTTGGCGTTAAACGCGTTACCGCCAACAACCTCGAGACTTTCGGTTTCATTTTGTTTTTATTGATCTTCGCGATCGGCGCCGCCATGTACGTTTGGATAAAAGGTAATTTTTCAGTCATGTTATTAAAGGATATTAAAGCCGCGAATTAGCGAATTATATCTCATGGATCTCGATTTCAGGCAGCGAGGATCCCACGAGGAATAAGTACAAACTGTTCTTAGAGTGCACATTGATCCTGACATCCGTAGTGCCGCCGGAACTGCCTATAGAATTGTCTCTAGCTGTTAATACGTCTCTGGTAGCACTTTCTAAGTTAGGTATTTAAGACAAATGCGTAATTTCGGAAAAGAAAATTCAGTTTTGGTCTCGTGTATGTGTCCAAATCATTATTGCCTTGTGCTTTTGCAGGTGTGTTCTGTACGGAACCGTTCCGGATCCCCTTCGCCGGCAAGGTCGATATTTGCTGCTTCGACAAAACCGGTACACTCACCAGCGATAACTTGGTAGTCGAGGGTGTCGCGGGAATCGAGTGAGTAAATGATATTTCTTTATATATATGTGTGTGTGTGTGTGTGTGTGTGTGTAAACTTTTCCGCCTTCTTACTAATGCGACGTTCATCTTCTTAAGTGGTAAAGCAGACGTGATCCAACTTTCGGACACACCTCTGGAGAGTGTTCAAGTGCTCGCCACGTGTCATTCCCTCGTTCAATTAGACGATGGTATCGTCGGTGATCCTCTGGAAAAAGCCACTCTCAAGGCTATCAATTGGAGTCTCACAAAAAGTCTGTAACAATTTGTCAACGCATGTTACGCTATGTTACATTACATCGTTAATATTTCGTTTAGGTGACTCGGTGATTCCTAAGAAAGGTAAATCTCCGGTGCTAAAGATCGTACAGAGGTATCATTTCTCGCCAGCTTTGAAGAGAATGAGCGTCGTGGTCGGATATAATGTTCCAGGAGCCTCGGAGACGCATTACATGACTACAGTGAAAGGCGCGCCGGAAACCTTAAAGAGTATGGTGAGTAAAGAAACAATTGTCCGCGAACGTTCGACGGTTATTCTATTTTCTCTCCCTCTTCCTATGACACTAAATCGATTTGTCCTTATTTTTCTGTATGCAGTTATCCTCCATACCTGAAAATTACGAGTCAACGTACTTGTCCTTCTCGCGACGCGGTGCGAGAGTGCTTGCCCTGGGATACCGTAAGCTCTCTGGTACTTTATCCTCTCAGGACCTGAGGGAATTGACTCGCGAGAAGTTGGAGAGCAATCTCACGTTCGCCGGTTTCGTCATTATCAGTTGCCCTCTTAAGCCTGACTCGAAAGCCGTCATTAAGGAAATTGTTAATTCCTCGCATTCGGTTCGTATATCTCATTAAATAGCTTGCTCAACACTGCAGTTGAGAAATCTCGTTTACAATGCGCTTCGACTGTCAAATAATGACGAGCATTTTAACGGACGTTGCTTAGGTGGTAATGATAACTGGCGACAATCCGTTGACGGCTTGTCACGTGAGCCGCGAGCTACATTTCACGAAGAAGTCCAACACGCTCATATTGACCGAGGATGGCGACGAATGGCGGTGGGAAAGCATAGATAAGACGATGGAACTTCCTCTAAACGCAAGTAATATCGAGCCATATAAAGAGATTTGGCACGATTATGCGCTCTGTGTGACGGGTGAGGTGTGTAATAAATTTTTACAGCTATCATCTATCATCCGTTCCAGTTATGACAAATACAAGTATCATACAAGAATGAAATAGGAACATAGTCGTAGCAAGCAAATGGAAAACTAAAAATGATTATTCTTTGTATCGTTCACATTTAGCATGATTCTCTCTCTCTCCCGTTCTTAAGACTGTTATAAATATATAAATATTAAAAGCGTGATTAAAAAAAAAAAATATATATAAATGTCTTTTAGGGTTTAGTGTATCTGGAAGAGAACCAACGCAATATCCTTTGGAAGTTATTGCCGCACATTGTGATTTTTGCGCGATGCGCACCGAAGCAGAAGGAATTCATCATCGTGTCTCTAAGATCTCTTGGCTACACGACGTTGATGTGCGGAGATGGAACGAACGACGTCGGTGCTTTGAAACACGCGCATGTGGGTGAGTTAAACGCGCCTAGAAAGACATGCTGTTAACACATCATCCAATCCGGCCTTATTTGGACTATTATTTTGAGATAACTTATGATCGGTCAACAATGTATTATTATCAAAATGTCTAACTAGGAATCGATTCTGAACACTACTTTTTCACACTCCTTCCTCGGCAGGTGTTGCGATCCTTTCTAGTCCACCCAAGAAAATACTTCCCGACAAACGAGAAGACTTCCGGAATGACACGTCTATGTCGCCCATAAACAACGGACCGAGAGCGAATTCGAAAACGCCACTGCTGAACACCCGTACGAAACTGCAGAAGATGCTGAAAGATGTCGAGAATGAGACGCAAGAGTTGCCTACGACCGTGAAACTCGGCGACGCCTCTATCGCGGCGCCCTTCACTAGCAAGATGTCTTCTATCCAATGCAGTAGGTCTATCGTAAGACACAGTTGCGACTAAGTCTGTTACTCGACGTGAAATAAATAGTGATTTGCTCTTGCAGTATGTCACGTAATCAAGCAAGGACGCTGTACCCTGGTCACCACTCTGCAAATGTTCAAGATCCTGGCGCTGAACGCGCTGATACTCGCTTACAGTCAATCGGTGCTATACCTAGATGGAGTTAAATTCAGCGACGTGCAGGCAACTTTGCAGGGTATTCTCTTGGCGGCGTGTTTCCTCTTTATCTCGCGCTCGAAACCCCTGAAGACTCTGTCGCAGCAGAGACCGCTGCCGAATATCTTCAATCTCTATACCATCGCAACCGTGTTGCTGCAATTCACCGTACACTTCATTTCTTTACTCTATCTAGTGAAAGAGGCTGTCGCCTGGTCTCCAGAGTGAGTTATGAAAATCAGAATTACTAGTTTATTACATAAATTTATAAAAATAATCCACATAAATACTTTACCAGAAATTGTAAAAATTTAATTAAGAAATGCTACAGTCTGTTTTGGCCTAGCTTGACATCTGTCAAAGAAAATTTAATGAAACTTTCTCAGTTTTTGTGATAAAGTATATCTATAGATGATAATAGCAGCTATCTTTCTATTATTTTTAAAACTCTTATAAGAATATGTAGTGTGTATATATATATATATATATATATGCATGTATAAGTTTGTGTTTATTATGAATCAATGTATTTTTACAGGGACCACAAATTAGTATCTTTGTTGCATAGTAATTTTAGCACTAATTTGGAGTCAGCAGCGACTGCATCTAGCAACGACAATAACGAAGATGAGCCTTTTGAGGCAAATTTAATAAATAGTACTGTGTACATAATAGCGATGTCTCTTCAGGTTTCCACCTTTGCCATAAATTATCGGGTAAGTGGATCCGCGCGTATTTTGTCATGTGTATCACCAATATATCGTTGGCAAATGACGTTACATCTCATCAGGGTCTGCCGTTCATGGAGAGTCTGCGACAGAATAAGGCTTTAATGGTGAGTCTATTGGGCAACTCCGTCGTCATTCTGTTGCTGGCCTGTGGATTTCTGCCCAACTTAGCAGTGCAATTCGAGATTGTGGATTTTCCAAGTCAAGTAAGTAGTTGAATTGTGTAAGACAGACTCGATCTGTTATTTTTGATCGCGTTATTTATGTCACTTCTGTTACAGTTTCGTGTTACACTGGTGCAAGTGTTAATCGCGGATTTTGCCTTCGCTTACATTGTCGACAGAGTCTGTCTGTGGCTCCTCGGCGATGGAAGACAACACAAACTGTGATCAAAACTATCTTTAATCGATGACTGACTGTATCAAAGATTTTTCTATGTAACTTTTGTTACTGATCTTGTTCCACGTTAAGAGCTGACAATTTTGATATTTAAAAATCGGTGATGTTCTTGTCATTACATCTACGCACTTATTCACACATGCAAAATAAACACACGTACACACGTACACACGACTCATCGTCTGTAATTGCATTTTATATTTTACGTCAGATCAGAGTATCTTTTATTTTGTGTGCGAGAGAAACGGAAATGTAATGTGTACGGAAAATATAAATATATGCACGACGATCTCTCACGGTTCGCTACTCACCTAAAGAATTGAAATCGTTCACTCTTCAATGCCGTCAACTTCTTCGTGGAACAAGAGGCAATGCTCCGGAAGATCGTTATTTATTGTCGATGTTGACATTATACGATAATTGTTAAATCAGTATTTGTCTTAGCATATTAACGTATATATATCAAAGATGTCGCGGAGGATATATTGTTTAGTCTCGTGATCTGGACGAAGATCCTGGTTGATCCGTTGATTTTCTCGAGACATTTGATGATCCTGTCAGCGCATCGACAATAAATATTAGTCACGTGAAGCAGCGCTCGAGAAAGAAAGAGAACAAGAGAAAGAGAGAGAGTGTGTGTGAGAGAGCAAAGCGTGTGTATCGTGTACATAAAATGTAGATAAACGATACTGCTTCAAGATACGCCGTTCACGTACAGATCTCCAGAATGTATGGGAACGGTCGCATCACGACTTATACACGATACCCGATGTAAATCGTGTATAAGTGAAACATCGCATCGTCCCATAATAATTCTACATTTATTTACGATATACGATCGCGCGAAACACTTCTCTAATCGTCTATCCGACACGACAATTCTGTGTATGTACGTATTTAGTAGTTTCATACGTTTCAACAATTGCATTCCACTTTGAAGGCGTCGATCGTCAACAACACTCTTGCGGCGCACATTTCAAGTTTGCTGATCAAATATACCTGTAGTTGTGTTTTATTCCGATTTTTCCATTATATACATACGTGCGCGTTCGATTGTGTCGATCGATTTTCGTCTCTGTCTCGACCACATACCGTGTGTTGGACAGATGAAGAGCGAGAGGCGAAAAGATGTTGGTTTGTTCTCGTATCTTAGGTCATTAAGAACGTCTTTGGTCATTGAGTGTATAGTTGTATATTATTGTACATTTATAATGATGACTAATAAAACGTTCAAAATGACGATTAAAAACCAGCAGTCTTTTTTTGATCGTTGATGATATCGGTTAAATCGAAGAACCGGCCGGAGGTTCATCGGTATTGCTAATGATATTCGTTTAATTAGCACTTGAATACCGAGCAGCAAATAAGTAGGGAGGTCGTTCTACATTGGTTGCATTCTGCGAACACAATGCTTGTGCAATCATTGAGCAAAAATTATCTACGATTAGTGTCTACTTTTAGACCTATCAATAACGCCCATCTTCCAAAAGTAGATCATCCAACTGTTATGTTCACTAAACGTGGTCATTGTGAAAACTCCTGTCAGCATCGGGGAAGGGGATTATTAGCGGTCAGCGAAATGTATCAGTATTTAGGTCATTATTTTTTATTCGCGGTCACTGATCCCGAAGTTAGAGAATGTGCTTTTCTTTATTGAAAATACTTAACTGCAAAATACTTGGAATACTTTAACGTCTCGGTTGGCGTTACGTTTGCTGCAGTCGTACTTGCTTCTTACTCGTGAATATTTCAAATGTGTTTACGAATGTAGAAAAAGCAAGAGATTCCCTAAGGGTAATTTTCCAACTTATGTAAAGTTAGCCTCTTAATATTTAAAAAACAAAATTTGTCTATGTTTGCTTACGAATGCCCCGTTGGAATTTTCGTTTGTCCTTAGCTAAAGTTATAAAATTTAATTTTTGGGGGGCCAACTTTACATTAGTTCCCCAATATTAAAAAAAAATGAAAATTTTTTCTTTGTATTCGTTTGCTCACGAATGCCCCATTGGAATTTTCTCAATTATAAAAAATTCCTTAATTTCTTCCTTAATTACAAAGTTATTGAAAATTAATTAATTAATTTATTAATCTATCACATATACTAAAATAATAAATTCTGAAAATTTTGCTCTAGGCTAACTTCATTTTTTAAAGACTTTGTAAATATTTTATGTGTATTTTATGTATATTTTATTTGTAATATTTTATGTGTATTTTATATGTCATAATATTATAACGTTTAAAATTTTCACCTTACTAAATTAATCTATCATATATTAAAATAACAGATACTGAACAAATTAGCAAAAGATTCTACAAAAAATATGTGCATAGTTTAAGTATCTTATCGCTGATATATATATATATTCCCTTATCTATTTTACAACACATTAGACCTGTTCTTTGTAGCTGCACTGTTGAACTGATACAATATATTAAAATGAAACAAATATACGTTTTCTCACTCTAACTTATTGTACTAGTTCAATAATGTAGCTACAAAGAACAGGTCTATTAATCAAACTAGGTTAGATTAAGTTAGACTATACATTTTAACCTACTCCATATAGTAAAATTATTTAATCTATGTATTATTATAGTATATGATAGACTAATTAAGACTAATATGTACTAATATATAATGGACCAATTAAGACTTAATAAGACGAAAGATTTAAACAATTTTCATTATGATATATTAAGATATTTACAAAAAATTATCTTGAAAATTTACATTAGCTTGAATTAAGCTAGATTAAAATTTTTTAACCTCAATTGTTAATGACAGCCGACAGAATTGTTTACGTAGAATTATTTGTTTTATTCTGTTAACATACACAGGAATATTAGTTTTTCGATTAATTTGTTAATTTATCGGATGACAAATTGCACAGTTTGAAATCACTGTTGGCGATTTTAACAGTTAACATTTTGCAGTCGTAATGTTTTGGACAGCTGACTGTATCAATGTTTATAGTGTAGAAGATAAATATTTCAAGTGTACGTTTCAATCATATCTCATATGAAAAAAAAACATGTTTCGACTGAAAATAAACGATTGGTGACGAGTATGTGTCGGAATGTTCTTGACACACATCCAAGAAGTTAAAGTATTTCGTCGGGAATATTTGAACACGCGTCAGCAAAAAGTTAATCATGAATTAGAAACGGAATTTGATAAAAATCACTCTATCAGCGTGATTACAATTTTTGTAATGCGTGATTACAAGTGTTTAAGATGGGAGTAAATAGGATGATGGCACAACAAAATAAAGAATATTAGATAAAATTCCATTTCCGAACATTGATCTGCAGATTTATATCTGTAACTTTTAACAACAATGTCATTATCATTGTATAGTTTTTTACTATTATACTTGCGCAACGACAATATAACGATAACGATACTGTAGTCAAAAGTTTCAAGAATTATTAGTCAAGAATAGACAGTCTGGACAGATATTATGAAAAACTAAAACAATATTTCTTTCATTATAAAACCTTAGAAAAATTTCGGAATTATTCCGTTACTCTATTGATTTCTCTTGTCTTCTTCAGAGATCAATCATGAATTTTCTTCCCTAGTGTGAATTCATGAAAAGTGAAAAATTTAACTTTAAAAATATATGAAAATATTCATTTTTCACGAGTTTATATTGGAGGAGAAGATTTTCATAATCGTTTCAAAGTCACTGCAAAATTATTTATTTCTAGAGATTTTATACTAGGGAAAAAAATTACATGATCGATCAGTAAGATCACGTTCACGTGAAAAGATTTATATAGTCTGTTCTTTGTAGCTGAACTGGCTGCACTAGTTCTTGTATTATTTCTTTTTTCCTCTCTCTTTTCTTTACAGCTATCTATTTTTTTAAGTTTTGGAAGAGTGTGCATTAGTTCAACTACAAAAAACAAGAAGTCGATTATAAATCTTTTGAACTTATGAAAAGTGAAAATTTAATCTTAAAAATACAAAAATGTTCACTTTTCAGGAGTTTACATTAAAAAATATTTATGATCGCTTTCAAGTACTGCAAAATTATTCACTTTTCATAATTTTATACTAGGGGAAAAATTACATGACAGGATTAACTGAGATCGAATTCGTGAAAAAATTGATAATTGATGCTTAGATCTATGATTGATGTCCTGGAGAATCGAATTTTCGAGTTGGGAGCGACAACACGCACGCCACGGAACACGGTTGATCGCGATATCGATACAGTCGATCGATACAGGTGGCTGTGAATCGACTTTTTTACGGAACTGCGGTGGTGGCCGTCGCTTGTCAACTCCGTGTTGCTTCGGCGAAAGCACGAGCACGAGCACCGATCTGTTCGGATTGTCATCGTCGCTGTGATCAAGTGCGCTCAGTCGATCGTGGTCGTTGCTTGCGAACGCATCGAGTGCGCACGCGCACTCCAATACGCAGGCAGCAAGCCGCCTCCGTTTTTCCAACACGATCGCTGGTACCATCGATGCCGCCGTGTACTCATTGCATGTAAGTCGTATGTGGGAGTCCGTGCGTAACGGAGAACGTATGCAAACGCTGACAGGAAGTATCTCGGCGAGTCTTACGTCGATGTGACGTGCGCGCGTAATTCATGTTATTTTCGCGCGCCCGCGCGATCACGCTGTGAATTTCGCGCCATGTGACTGTATCCCGCTGTTCAAGGAGAGAGAAAGACAATCGAGAGACGCGACTGGATTCTTCATTCGAGCGGGAGAGGAACTTGCCATTCGTCGTGGGACTCTTGGAGGCATCATTTCATCGTGTTTTCTTTCCTGTCGCTGCTGTCGTCATCGAGTCGGTAAATCTTTACTCCCTCCCCCTTTTAACCGGGGATTTTATCCTTAGAAATAATAGAGGCTGATACGATATCAGCGCGATATCTAGAGTTCAAAACTATGAAGGAAAGTGTGTTCAGGTAGAGCGAGAGATTAAACCGTTTTCCAGGTTTATGTTTTGAAAAAGATCAATTTCGAAAGCTGCGCGCGCGCTCGCTCGAGCTGTTGTGCGCGCGCACCTTACACGTGTCACACATGCGGTATCTGTTCAAATAAAAATCTAAGCTAGCTCGGGAGAAAGATAGCGAGGTCATAAACGCTGTACATCGGATATTCGTCGCGGACGATGATGTATACATTTGCATTAACAAGGTCGCGGGCAAGCAGATACTTTCAAAACATTAAGAAGGTGCAAAGTCGAAAATAAAGAGAGAGAAAGAAAGGGAGAGAGAGAGCGGATTTAAAAGTTTCCTCTCGGCGGAATTTTAGTAATGGACATCAGACGCATTTCACGGCGAACAGTCGTCGAAACCGGCTGGACGTGATCCGTAGGTACTTTAATTGCTCAAATTCGCGAATTTGGCCTCTCACTCGCGATCTACTCCGTCGTTTTGCGTGCATAACACTATCACAAAATATATATTAAAAATAGTAAAATCAGGGTTTTGGCGCTGTACGTTTCCTTGACGCTATCGAGTATGCGTCTGACACAGTCTGTGAATACAAAATTGACCACATTGTATGTAGTTGTGAAGTAGGTGACCCGCCGAGTTCCTGCACGGGCGAAATGCAAGGTTGACCTTGTTGTGTCAATCAACAAATTTTCGACAACTGACGAACAAAGCGGTATTCTTCGCGACTCATCGTGGTCGAAATACTCCCCGTCGATCGCAGGTCGACATGCAGGAAGGGAAATTACCGAGGCGGGTATTTTCCCGATGGAAAGCCAAACGGCTTTCCCAATGGGAGAGAAAGAAAGCCTTGTCTCCGCGCACTTATCGATAGCCGATTATTAGCTGACGCGTATATCAGTCACGTGCGCGTTCTCGTCACTTTCGGAAGTTTTCCGGCAATAGTAATTTCTCATCGCGCGCGAATACCCGCAGTGACGTCTAGGACGACCGTGCTAAATATAAACGACGACTATTTATAACGAAATTAAGTTGCACCCGTATCGTCCGTCGACGTTGTCTCGTGCGCGCTTGCCTGACTGTCGGTAACGTTGATTAATCCGCTGTTGACCGACGAGATTGCTCGTCGCGTTATACGCATGTAACGAGGAGTAATCACGGAGGAGAGAGTCCGGGCAGGATGTAATCATCGAGTGTTTTGCTGGACTGGGCGTGCTGTTTAATTCACCTCTCGAGCGACGCTCTCTTCCGCGCGCATTATCGGCTATAATCGTGTGACACGCGCGTATTTTAAACTATCTCCGATAACATGTCATTAACGTCTTGGCTGGTGTATTAACAAACAGTGTCTAAATTTACATAGCGATAACGCGCACTGGAAAATCGTCTAAACGACCGTAGAATACGGAAGATAACGCTCCTAGAGATAAGCGTGGCTAAGGTATAGTAATTTGACTCTTCTCTGGGAAATCTCTCATCTGGAAAGAGGACAGAATAATTGGCTTAAGGTCAAGTTCGCTTAAGGTCTCGATTCTATGCATGCGTAGATTTTGCTCCATAAGCGTTTCCGTAACAAGTATGGTGAAGCGTCCTCGCGATCGACTTATCCAGCGAACTAGTTTCCGCTTGTTAACTCGCTCGCACGCACTCCGGGCAATTGACTCCGACGAGATTGATTGGAAAATAACGGAACTTTGAACTCCACGCGCGGCTTGGGCCGGCGACAGCGACAATGGAACTGCATCGTCGTCGTCGGCTCTTACCCTAAGTCATCATCGTCAACTTATATTCCGAATTCCGGCTCAGCTAGGTTAATGACTGTCGCCTAAAACTCGTCTCTGCGAGACATTCGAGTCTTTCTTCACTCCAAAAACTTGGTTTTCTACTTGGTCCAAGTAGAATTCCAGGTAGAAAAGTGTCACAGTTGAAATTTATCATTGTTTACTTTATATCTGTTAGAATTGCTAGAAAATGGTCTGTTATACGTAGAATTTACTACAGCAGTATTCTAGCGATGTCTGCAAGTAAAAAGTACGAATAAGAATTATATATTCGTTTGTGGTCATTTCTATATATCATAGTCAATTTTTATGAGGAGTACAATTGACCTCAATCTGAATGGGTGCCACAGAGAGACTTTCTTGCTAAATTTCACAAATTGTTCAGATAGAAATTCTGTCTCTGTCATCTATGTTGATTAAACATATGTGATGTTGCAGTGTTTGTTAGTCAATCAATCAAATCAATTTATTCATATTTCAGCTTACAGCCAAGAAGTAGGGACTTGGTTAGCAATTTATACTTTAACTCACTATCTTTCCCATGCATACATCCATGCCATCATTCGCTTCTATCTAACTCTATATAAACTCTTCTAACTCTACCTAATTCTAACTTTGTTCATTTTATCTCTTCACCATTATACTTTCCATCTCTTTATTATTTCTCCATTTCTCCTCCCTTAATTTCTTTGCTTCTTTTATCCATAGCTTACTAATTGCATCTTATCCTTTATTAGAGTTCTAATTCTCATTATTTATCCTTCTTTCCATACCTTTTTCCTTTCTAAATACTTCGGTTTTTTTCCTTTCTTCTTATTACTTTATATCTTTTATTATACTTCGCCTCCCTTATTTTATTTTCTTCTATCTGTTTCTGAATATCTTTTTCCCTTCTTATTAACTCTTTTTTTAGATTTCCTTCCTAATTTCTAATTTCCATTGTCTCGATTCCCCATCCAGTGTTCGTTAATCATTTGTCTATCTTAGCGAACGTTTCCTATCTAGATAATTTTCGCTATAATTGCAAGACCATTTTTTTGAGTGATTTAGAATTAGATCCAAGTTTTTCAGCTAAATTATGATACGTGTGATATTTATTCCGTGAGTCGAAATCTTAGTTCTACTTTTGACTTTCTAATATTTATGTATTCTGAAGAATCAATGTGTGTTTAATACATATGACAGTTGAAGTCCTACTTAGCGCCTCAAAATGGCAGAAAACGTATAAAATGCACATGTAGGTTCTAAAGAAAACTTCTCGGTAAAGTCAATTAGGTTAAATAGAATTAAAAGATCTTGATATTGACTTAAAAATATCGAAGTAGATCTTAATAAGATATTAATAAGATATTAAGGTCGAAAGTAGAATCAAAATTTCAATTGAGATATGAATATTGTGATTCAAAAACTCTCATCTAACTTTGAATTCAAATTTGAATATCCTGCTTAAGACAAGTTTCAAGTAATAACTATTAAGATAAAAGTATTAATCTCTGGACGCTAATAATTGGTATCTGCTTCTACACATTCTTATCGGTTTGGTTTTTAAATATGGTTATTTAAACTTTCAAAGTAAAGTATATATATATATATATATATATATATATATATATATATATATATATATATATATATATATGTGTTTTCTCTATTTTTAAAAGTTTAAATATTCACAAAGGCTAAAATAATACATTGACAAGAAAATACTTTAAAATTTATTTATAAGGTAAAATTTATTTCATAGAAATAAGCTTTGTTTCACAGAAATAAACTTTACTTCATACAAATAAACTTTATATCTCACAAGGAAATTTTCTTTCAGTGTTTTTCTCAGTATAGGAATGTCCAAAGTTATGTATATGCAAAATGTTTTTACTTTTATTTTAATACAAGTTTTAACAAGCTTATTAACAGTCGTTACTTGAAACTTGTCTCGCATGAGATACTCAATTTCCTGAATTTAGAGTTAAATCTGAGTTTTTCAGTTGAATTACATAATACACGTAATATTTTACTTACAATCGCGATTTTGAAAAATTCGTATGTACCTCTGAACTCAAATACGAATATCTTACCTGAAACAAGTTTCAAGTAACGTCTATTGACACGGGACTTAGTCTGCGCGTGAAAAAAATATCTCTTTTTAATTATTTTTTTGCAATCTCTCTTTTGCATCCGGTGATTTTTTATCCGGATTTTTTATTCTTTTTTATATATATTTATCGGTATATAACGCCACGTTTATTTTCTTAAATTTTTTTTACGACTGATTCTTACCTTTTCGGAGAAGAAACGATCACAGGACGATCGACGTTGCCGTCAGGTGGATCTTTAACGCCGTCGATTCGATCTCTCTACTGGAAGAATGTTGCCGTGATTGTCATTCAGTGCTAACGAGAACAAATTACTAGCACGTGCATGGGTCAGTCTTTATCGTCGCGAGAAGCGAGCGCTGACGATAAGAACGCATAACAACAACGACGACGACGACGACGACGACGATGACGATGACGACGACGACGACAACGACGAGGACGACGACGACGATGACGACGACGACGACGACGACGACGACGACAATGACGACAACGACGACAACGACGGTTTTTTGTGCGGACACGCGATTTCCTCTCGAACAATTGACAATGACGCGAGCGGCATAAATCCTCGTTACGTGTTTTCTATCTCGTACGTAACGCCTAATTAGCTACGCGCGTGCTTACGTCGATGTTAACGATCTCGACGAAATTACTAATGCGAACGAGCGAGCGAGCGAGAGCATCGCGCGGCGGCGAACTAATAAAAAGCCTGAACGAAACAGCCCTGGCGACGTGCCAGTTGATAGTCCTTGCCGAAGGACTCGCGGATTAAAAATATCGGTGCAGCAATCTTGTAACCCGAGAGATAGAGAGAAAGAGGGATAGATAGATAGACGTGAGTCATCAGATGGTGCGATTTGTCGTCGATCTAAAAGAGATCAGCCGCCGAGAAAGACGGGGAACAGGTTCTCTCGCGAGCTTCGTGCGGCGGTACAAGATATGATCGACAGTTATTCGTGAAAATATTCGCTGACAGCGTGTGTCGTGCCGCAGCCGCGCAACAACCGGAAATCGCGTACGAATTTGTTCATTTAGCTGATTATTGAGGCTGACTTAGTCATTAGACCGTTAATAATTAGGTGATCTCTCTCGTTATTATACACTAACCAACGGAAATAATAGCCTGAACTCGTATATACTCGTATTGTATACTCGTATTGTAATAAAGTTACCGTACACAGGAAGAAAAAAAGGTTACTTGAATGACAATGAACGAACTAAACGCGTTTCGCTTGAAGGAAACTGAATTTCTGTCTCTTAGACCGCTATTCATAGCCACATCTTATGTTTAAGATGGTTTTAAGTTTATCCTCAGATGCTACACGGATAGTCTCATTGACTAAAAACATCTGAAGATACATTTAAGATCATAAATATAAAAAACATGAATAATAGAAATGAGAATAATAATGAGAAATATGAGACTGTGAATATTACTCTAAGAACCAAATTTGATTTATAAGAATTAGAAATTCTGTTTTCTTCAGCCAAAACGCATTTGATTTATCCATTGTCGCGTTAATTAAAGAAATTTTCTTTTTCCAGATCGAATTTTACAGTAAAAATAATAAATAAATAATAAATAAGCTGAGAAATAGACCGATACCGCGGTAATTGTATATCTTTTTATTTCAAACGTGTTATTTATATCGAATATGAACGATCCAGAAATTCCGATTGAAGTAATTCTGTTTAAGTTAACAAGATTTTTGGTTGACTTAAACAGAATTCAGGTTACTTCAATCAGAATTTCTGAATCGTTCATATTCGACCAGATATTTGGTTAATTCAATCAAATCTTTTTTTCCGTGTGTAATTTTACAGTAACGTATACAATAGCGCGAAATTGTTATAATTAATCGGACACGTTGTTTCTGGTTTATTTGAATGTTCAGTATAAACTGATAATGTGCACATTAGAAAATTCTAATCACCGAATTACATCACACGTTAAAGCTATCGCGCTAATTAACAAGTCAAATCAATCCGGTATCTTTGCGGCATTTTATTATAATGTAACTTTGAATGTTAAACGAAACTTTGATCGATGTGGGGATAATCAGGAGAAGTGATTTCCGACGTTGGCAAGCAAATCATCACAATATAACTTAGACAGAGATATACAGAGTTGAACGAAGCGTAAAGAATGTGATAGTGACAACAATGAATGTAAACATCATTCAACAAAATAAAATATGATAAGATATTATAATGATATAAAGAGACCTTCGATAAAGAGACATTACTTATTCACATATTACAAATATCCGTCTCGCGACTAACGATAGCTTCGTATCGACGCGGATTCGGTTAAGTTAAGATTTCGTGAACGGATTGCATTCCAATAAAATGCTTCGTGCGTGCGTACGTGTGTGTGAATCGACTCCCTTTAGTTTCAGGAAAGATGGTGGCTGTATCAGAGAGAGGATACTTCCATTGGATCGATTGGCTGGTGTTTGCGCTTATGCTCGTCGTGTCCGCGGCAGCCGGCTTATGGCACTTCAAAAGGGCGCAAAAGTCGAACACGCAGGACTACTTGCTCGGAGGGAAAAGCTTAGGGCTCTTCCCCGTGTCTGCGTCTCTCGTTGCCAGGTGAGCTTGGAGGGTTTAAGGCTATTAAGTGGAAATAAACGACCAAAGTACAAAGAAACGAAAAGAGAGAAAAGTAAAGCGAGCGCTTGAAACGCTTGAAAACGTAACGGAGGCATTGAAAGCTAAAGAAGCGCGAACTGTCATCGGTTGCCGTGATCGTTCGCCTAATTTCCGATCAGTTAAATTTTTCACACATTTTCCGCTTTCACAGAAGAGAAGGCAGAGGAAAGAAGAAAAATGTTTTCGAGCGTTCGCGGCGCCGGTGTTAAATCGTTCTATTTTGCGTCTATACATATCGACAATCGACATCACATCGAAATTGTTGTTTGTCGAGTCGTTCGGTTCTCGAGCCCGATCGATTAGTCATGCAGAATATTTAATCAATTCCGATCGTAACTGTAGCTTCATATCAGGCGTGACGATTCTGGGCACTCCAGCGGAGATCTACAACTTTGGTACACAATATTGGATCACGATCATATCGATCTTCTTCGCCGGCATCGTGGTCGCCACCATTTACCTTCCGGTCTTCACCACCCTGAGGCTTAGCTCCGTTTACGAGGTTTGTAGTGATTTGTTCATATGCTTGTCTCTCTCTCTCTCTCTCTCTCTCTCTCTCTCTCTCTGTACGTATGTGTGTGAGATAAACAAATAAAGAGAGAGAGAGAGAAAGAGAGTTCATTATTTCACGTTTGACGTAATAAATAATCACTTACTTAATGGCGCCAAGCTATTCACGGTGTATCACTCTTCTTTTAGTACTTGGAAATCAGATTCAGTCGAGCCGTGCGGATTCTTATTTCTTTCATTTTCGTCTTCGACGTGGTAAGTTTTGAAGAGACCTCACTTGTGAAGTCAACGGTTCAAGCTGATCCATGAGACGCTTTTGCGGTCTGCCTCGGACAAATTCGCGTGTGAATAAAGACAGCCGACTAATTTCAGATACTCTACCAATCGATCGTCGTCTACGTCCCCGCGCTGGCTTTGAATCAAGGTATGTTTAGGAATGTTCAATATATTCAGGATGTTCAGGAAATTTATACTATTCGCGCGCGCGAGGATGTTCAATCTACTTTCATTTAACCTGTCGTTGTTTGATTGTAGTGAGCGGTATCGACATACATTTGATCGGGATGATCGTCTGCGCCGTCTGTGTATTCTATACTGTTTTGGTAAGTTAACGCGACGTTTTGCAACGCGAATCTTAGTCTGCTTGGTAAAAATACCGATCATCTAACGTATTATAAAAAATTGTTCATATCTTTTTTATGTCAACAATATTAGGTTGATAAATAATGTCATGGCAAAAGATTTGTCATATTTTTATTAAATTCTCGCAGAAAGTTTGGATGTAAGAAAAAAAATAGGAAATCCTCGTTAGATGCTTATCCAAAAAACTACTTTGCTTAAAATGAGGCATAAAAAATACTGACTTTTCTTTCTAATGACGGTTTTGCATTCCCTTTTCTTTAAAACGTGTCTAAGAAATTTTGTAAATAAATTATGCACGTATGAATATATGTTTAAATATATGTTTAAAGATATGATAATCTATCTCTCTATGTATATATGTTTAAAAGATATGATAATCTCTTTGTAATGTGCAATTTACTTATAACATTTCAGAAATGCATTCTGAAAAAGGAGATGAAAAATCACCATTGAAAAGAAGCCAATATTTTCTATCATTTTCTATTTATCAATTTATGTGTTTATTTTATTCGTAATAATTATTAATTCTTCGAAGTAGTATATATATATATATATATATATATATATATATATATATATATATATATATATATAT